GCATAATTCAAACCTACAAAATGACTGGTAAAGCTCATAAAGCTATAGCAACATTTTCCACGTACCTACAAGTAAAAGATAGATAAAATGAAATAAAATTGTCTAAAGCTACAGTAGCAATATTCTATGAATTTTAGGAAGTCCTCTACTGTGTGAAACAACTCCAATTCGAACAGATTGAAGAATACTGGACATCGTTCTGGCAGCCCGAAGATGACCTCGACGATGAAGAGTAAGCGATCACTCAGGAGAACATGGAAAGCAACACTTATTCCAGTGATTTCAGCAAAGCGCTCGGCCAAGCTCGTCTATCGCAGCAGCAACTGTTCTCACTTTGCACTTTGCCGCAGATTCAACATTGGATCGTTTCGTTGGATCTGGCATTTTACCAAACCCTCGTCGATATTTTGGTCCCAGATGTGCTGATGAGCAACATGTCACGTGAGTAGCAGAGTCATATTTTATTAGTGAATCGAGTGGAATCAGCTGTTTCAGCTTTCCTGACTCAATCGTGCCGAAACTTTGCCAAGAACGTTGAGCACTATCTAAAGAAGGCAATGCAAGGCGCTCCCGAAATTATCCAAAAGAAGAAAATTCAAGCTGTCAAATATATGGCACAAGGACTGAGAAGGTACAGCGCCACCCTCTGTAGCTTTTGGAAAAAATTTGAGCAGACTGTCCTTCGCGATAAGTTCTCTTGAAATTCTCTCGCATTGCTTGATCAAACGAACATATAAATAAAAAACCGAATTCGTCGCCTTCCTTGTGACAGTCAGTTAGTATGTTACAAAAGGCTGCAATAGTCCGCATAATATTTTAACAACTTGAACCATATTTTACAGATATACATCTCTAAATCATCTTGCACAAGCTGCCCGCGCAGTTCTGCAGAAGCCGGACCAAGTCACTGCTATGTATAATGACTATATTAGGTAAGATAATGTTATTTTACTTCTTAAAGGTTATTAGCAATTTCATCCTCTTTTCGATTACGAAAAAAATCTTTTTCTGTATGCAATTTAATCCACTGAAATAGGGTATTAACGAACAGAATTTAGCGCAAGCACTTGAATGAAGATTATTCCTTTATATCAACGTTTCTGCACTTACTTCTGCTTCGATGATGCCATTTTTCTCGCTTTTTTGAATTTTTGGATTTTTGCTTTCGCTTCACCCACATCTATGCCTACTTTCGCTTGTATGAGTTGACATAAGTATTCTCAGACAAACAAATGAGGCATCGGCCGTTTTTGCTTTATTTGAATCAAAATTTGGAAGCAGAAAAATATCTTTTAGGCTATTTATACATCACTTTCGAAGTTTTAACGTAACGAGTTCACATAAAATTGACAGCAAATACAAATCTAAGCTTTTTTATAATTAGAGATGGGCAAATTCGACGAGCTGATTTGTTTATATGCAAATGTCTCAGAAATTACGAGCATAGGTATCCCAGATATTCCAGCCCTCAACCATGAAAACAACAAAAAATGTTTCTGATTTTCCTGGAAAGCTAGAGCATCAAATCTCTTGTCTTCCGGTCTCCTCCGCTGACAGATGTTAACTGTTCATAACCGTAACATATTTCAGAGTGGACATGCAACAGGTGCAA